CAGCCTCTTCGTGGGATACTGGCTAGGAACAAACTGCACAGGAGTTACAGTAGCCGAGAAGTGGTCGGTCCATTATACGACAAGTTGTGGTGTGCTTGGATATGCCCGGAATCGCGAGTTCCGCGAAGCAAACCAGAACCCTCAAATAAGATGATGTAACGGATGCCCAAGGCCGAGGTGTCACCGCCCAATTACACCTTGTGTGTGTCCTCCAAGGAAGAACACAACAAGAAGAGCGCAACAGCAGAAGTACTTGAGTGTAACTAGTATAACATATTGAGGGTAACAAATGCGTGTAACCTACGTTCATCGGGCCAATCAGCTTCTGACCTCAATTTCCTACCGGCACGATTGGCTGGTGACTCGACGGCTGACTGCAGCTTGAATTTTAAATTATCGACCGATTGTATGGCACTATGCGTTCGCTCGCTTGTAGGCCGATCGATAGCCTACTGCGAGCGCTGTTTGGTCCCTTCTAACACATCCCCTCTTTGAAGACAAATCGTAAGATTTGAGTTTTTGGGTTCACTTGTTACGGAACCGTTCGCATTCTTTTTCAGCCTGATCGTCTAGAGGCTGGAGTTCGTCTCTAAATATGTTGTACCGATTACACTCAAAGACTTCTGCTTTCACCCACTTCTTGTCGTGTTTTTCCTTGGGGGACTCATACAAGAGGAACTTAGGCGGTGACACCTCAGGCTTTGGCTACCATTACAACATAAGCAACTTGTTTTGTTTCGAAAAGCAATGTTTTTGTTTACTGTCTGTTGCACGTGTTTTGTGTTGTAAGTTGACGAGAGTCGTTTTCGCAAGCCCGCTTCACCACTTGACGTTAACGCCCTCTACTAGGGAAACGCGTAAAAGCGTGAATGAGGTGTACGAAAGTCATTAGTCCTTGTACATAAAGAACGGTTGATTCCCACCAAAAAAGGACACGCTGTTACGTTAACATAAATAACGCAGACACATATCCTCATGTACGAGGGCAAGCCCTTCCTAAAAACGGATTAGGCTAAAATGTCCGACGACTGAGATACCCCCGATTGACCGTCTAAATTTTGGTCGGCTTGACAATTCAGTGAACATTCAACTCAGATGATGGTCCGCATCCAACCGATATACATATCTTTTTACATGTATCCACTACACGCAACGATAGTTGCGGGAAGCTTATTCTTTAAACTCTGCTATCCACTTATAAAACCCGTCAGCACATCACAGGCTAGCGCTTGAAAAATAAAGTAGGCGGTTAACAGGTTCGGAGACGACGCTAAGAGGGGTAGTAGGCAGAACACTCACCTGACCACGACTGGCACCAAGCTTTCGCATTGCCACGTACTCCCGAACAAGGTATTCTCCTGCCTCCTCGCTAATCTTTGGGTGGTACATGGCCTAAAGGGCAGAGGGCAGAAACAGTGAGTTCAAACAGTTTGAAATACAGCTTTATAAAAATGAAAAATTAAAAAATTAAACACGCGAAATACATGAACAACAACGAAAGGTAGGTTAGGAAGTTACCTTTGCGTAGGCAATGTAATCACGCAGCATGCTGGCCGAGTCGCCAGCATAGGCGGGGTCTTCCGTATCCAAGTCCATGGCGGTCACCATGGTGCCCGCAGCGCGGCTGGCAATTGCCCCATCGCTGGCTGCTGACCCGCTGCTGGGCTGTGTACCCTTGTAGTAGAGGCCGACCAGGTGGCGCGCCAGTCGCGCATCGTAGACCTCATCTTGTGGGTCCAGAATCAGGAAAATCAGGTCGAAACGCGAGAGCAACGTGTGTGGCAACTGCGCGAATGGAGGAGGAAGAAGACATACACACACTCACCTCAGGGTAAAACTTTGAAAGTGATGCGCTTTATTTTCAAAATTGTAGTAAACGCACATAACAATAGACTTACCAGGAAGGAGGGTAACCTGTTAGCCTACCTGTTGGCTAGTCGGTGGAACCGTCTTCAGTGATAGTTACATGCGAAATAATCAGACTCTCGGGCCTGCCGGTTGCGGACCAGCAACGACAGTGCTACTAAGGTGCGG